ATTTTCTCTTTTTTTGCTTACTGTCTTCCCAATCTATACGTACCCATTCTTTACCTAAATCTGAGATTAAGTCATCTGTATGCTATCTGACCCATCTTAAGAGAGCTGAGAGCATCTATTTGCTGCTTAAATGGGCCACTGATAACCGTCTCTAAAATTGCTCTAATGTATTGTGATGTGGATTTATTTCCAAATAATTGAATTGGGGAAAACATTCAGGCCCTGCTGCTGCTGTACAGTGCTGCTGAGAGCTATGCTGATGTAAGGTGCTGAAATATTCATGGACACCCTTAGCACATTTAAATGGAAATGATTAGCATGATGCTAATTAAAAGAGAGGAATGCTAGTGGTGAAAATTACAAAACCACACTGTTCTGAATAATTAAAAAAGCAATTTATAGTAAAGATGAAAATATGAGTCACCAAGACAGATTTCATTTTGCATTTTTTATGAAGGACTATTACTTAATTCTGCAGAGGAAAAACACAGTTTCCAGCTCTCTCTAAGAGAGTTTTTTTTCTTTTTTTTTTAAAGTTATTTTCTGTTTATGTTTTTCTGCAAAGGTTGGTGTGTCTAGTGAAGAATGAGTTTTTGAAAGTTTCCCCTTTCCGAAGGTCTGCTTCTGCAGTTCTTTGTTGGCTGGTGCTTACAAAAATGCCAGTTCTGATTGGTTTCTGAAGACAAGATGGCTGAAGTTGGAAACTGCATTTTAACCAATCAGAATCTTCCTTGCAGGGGTGGGATCTGGAACAGAACAGTGTTTCTGTTTTCTTTTGGTCTGAAGGTGAAATTTTAGGTTACACTGCTACCCTGTGGAAGAATAATGGAACATAGTAGCCTTCCACTGTCACTCCCTTTGCCTGCATCCCCTGAAAAGAAGGTGGATAATGTATGAGGGTTGTAGCCCTCTCCTTTAATTCACTCAGCTATTGCTCAGGAAGCAGTGTGGCACTGTAGACACACGTCACACTTGGCTCCATCATGTGTCAGTGCAAAGAAGGGAAGATGAGAAGAGTCCTCGCTGTCAGCTCATTCTTAGCCATTCTCACCTTTCCTCTGTTTATTCTGTTTCCCCCTGAACTATTAACAGGGCTCGACCTCTTAGATAAATGAAGAGAAGGGAGGGGGTGGAGATGAATGAGGGGATTAAAAGGTGTCGGAACGAAGAAGCAAGATGAGAAAAATGAACAGAGTGGTGGATGGATCATTTGCTGGACTAAGGGCTCTTTTTGGTGTTGATATATCAAGCAGCACCTGACAAACAGCATGTAGTGCAGTCATATTTATGACGACATAGGTGTTGCTGCGCTGTGTGTAAAGCAGGCGGATGTGTGTGTGAGTGCTGAGAGTGTGTGAGGGTCAGGAAACTTCCTGCTCCTTGTCTGTCTGAAGAACAGAGCAGGCAAAGACGTTTTTCATAAGACTGTGTGCTGGTGTCGAGCAAGGGCAGGCCTGTCTGTCGTTGCGTCAGTATTTAGTTTGATGACTCAAATGAGGTTTAAACATTATTTATGGAAAGTGAATATGGCTTGTCGCCACCACACACTGACAGAGTTGATGTAATCTTCACTTCACAGGAATCGATCATGATGATGTTATGAAGTTCACAGCAGCACTTACAGTGGACCTATCCTTACAAATAGAGCCCCAATTAACTTATAGTTTATTGAACCTCTGTCTCCAGGCCCCTGTAGTGGCCATTCTGCCAGTGGTTGTTTTTAATTAAAATAATCAAATAAAATATTTTTGCCCATACCTCTGTTATCAGATTAACTAAGACACTGTGTGTGAAATGTTGTGACCCTGTGTTGAGCTGATAGTGAGCAATGCGGGGTGAAAGGGGAGGGATGAGAACCACTGCTGTGAAAACAATTCACGCCTCTTCACAAAGACAACCATGCCGAGATGAAATACAGTGAAGCGGCTGCTTTTCTGATATAAAACTATAAAAAGAGCACTTAAAAACCATAAAAAACTTTTATAAACATTGATATGCTTGATCACTTTCAAAGATGACAATCCAATTAATTTTGGTTTTGTAAAGCATTCAAAATTTCCATTAGAAATACATTTTATCAACATCATTGAAGAAAAAATGCATAGCTAACTGAGGGACCTTCTCCAAAAGAGGTGGAAATCGCATTTTATGGCTCCTGTGAAAATGGCTAAAAGATGTTTGTACAGCCATGTCTCCTCAATTCAATACAGGCATTGCAAAAATGTCTTATTTTCTCAACATTTTGATATTATCTTGACTTACTATCTTGAAATAATTGCTTTTTGTTAATGACTTTGACATAGTAAGCTCAACTCTGGCATAATGTCAACATTTCAAAACCATTAGTCAAAATATTGAAAAAAATTGTCATTATTTGGACATACTTAATCTTTTTCTCAAGAAAAAAAAACATTATTTTGACATAAGTTATTATTAGATAAAAAGTCATAATATTTTTGACACACTGCCAGAAACTGACAAAAAAACATATATGGCAGAAACAATCTTCCCTAGAACCTTTATTTAAGGTCACTACATTGAGTCGTTGAGTTTTTAGTTTAAAATGTAAATACTACATCTGTTTTATTCCAGCAATGTGACTTCTCAAAAAATACAAATTCAATATCATTTGAAATTAATAATGTGCCCAAATCACTAAATGTAGGTATTATGCAATTTTGATAATAGACAGAGTTACATGATGTTATGTAAAGTTTGTTCAACCTAGCAATGAAAGTACTCATTTGAGGGTGGCGCAAGTATAGATAAATAAATTATTCAGAAATTATAAGTGTTTTTAAGTGTACAAATCTTCAGTTCTTATATTGCATGGCACGTCTCATATATATTTTATTTATTTATTTATTTATTAATTTACATTTTAAATTGTGCCAAAACTTGCACCACTAGAAATCTTCTTACATCTTATATTTGATTTAAAAAAAAAGGATTCGTATTCAGATTCTTACTCTTTGAAAGTGCACGCTTGTGTAGGCCTTCTATTTTACGAGGCACTGAGCATGATGAGAGCACATCTGCATAGTTTTAGCTTAGCAGTTACTCAGAGAGTAGCCTCAGTTCAAAGAGCAGTATCCAATGTCATCAGTGAACTAAAAGACATGTGAACATGTATAAATGAGTTTTAAATCTGGCGCTCCACTCAGAGGCCCACCTGTCTCCAACATAACTCTGCAGCCGGTGGGGGCTCAAAGCTGATGAAAAGTGAAGACGAGGAATTTCAGTATTGTTTTCCTTCTTGTGCCTCAGTCATCTGCCGTAGAAAACATGTCTTATTTTATAAACATGTCTAAAAGGTAAGATAGATTTTAGTTTGCTGGGGCAAGTCAGGTTGAACAAATAAATGAATCAAATCCAAATATACTGATTGAGATATGGATATTAGCCATATTGAATGCAGGAGATTCGGGACACCTGCTATCCAGATGTGTGATGTACAATAGCAGTTCCTGTTCAAGGCTCTTATCTTGTCCTGCCACTCATGTTAATCCTGCCACTCTCTTGCTTACATTTATTGGGGTAGTGTATTCCACTTTTCCTCTGACCTGAAAAAATGTACTAACTGGGAATCTCTCTGTAAAAGTATGGCAACATGTCCTAGTTGGATACAATAGACTTTGACCTTTCAGACTGAATATCTTTTTCTTTGTTGCTGATTTTCTTTGTAGCATTGGAATGCTGTATTGAGTTTATTTTATTTTATTTTTTTTTTTACCATTTTTGGCTTGTCCTAGTTTACTGCATGGGAGTGTACACACTGTACTGCTGTAATATGGGATCTGATGCCATCTGTAAATGGATGACTGGACTACATATTTTTTTACTTTTGTTGTTGTTGTTGTTTGTTTTTGGGGTGTCCAATCCTGCTCTTGGAGATCTACCACCCTGGAGACTTTAGATCCATCACACCTGTTTTTAATATTCAGATGCCCTTGATTACCTGGATCAGGTTTTAGATTAGGGTTGGAACTTAAGTCTACAGGGTGGTAGAACTCCAGGACTAGGACTGCGCACCTCTAGTTTATATAATCCTATGCTATAAAGAATTGATTTACCATGGAAGTGCTGCAGTAATAGTGTATTCCTTAAATACAGCAGCTTTTATTATACAGTATGAGGGAAGGAACTGCTTTAATTTACACTACAATTCAAACCATTTAAAAAAAACATCTAAAAAACATTTTAAAAATCCATAAAAATTCTGCTACCATTCTACTATAGATGCTGTCTCATTCTGCTGCATTGCTGGTCTAGTGTACATGTACACCACAGTACATGTATTGATCTGTGATTTTCCCAAGGCTGCTGTGAAATCTTTAATTCCTGACAAGAGATGTGTTTATATCGCCTGACCTCAGCTTTACAACCCACTGTTGGCCTCCATACTGCAGATGATTGTGTTTTAAATTCGGACACAGCACCATCTCATATTAATAGATTATGCAAAGTGTAATTAAAAGCATAGGAATAGCTACATCACTCTTATTGAGCTTAAAAATAACATAGTTCTAATAGACCCCTGCTGAAAGCTCTTATCTAATCCTGCCACTCGGATTAGTCCTGCCGCTCTCCTACTTACACTTATTGGAGTAAGGATATTCCACTTTTCCTCAGGCTTGAAAAAGAAAGTATACTAACTGGATGTCTCTGTCAAATTGGCAACATATGTCAAGGTTTTGTATCCCAGTTGGATTTGAAAATCTTTGACCTTCAAGACTGAAAGTCCTTTGCTTCACTGCTAATTTTCTTTGAAACAGTGCAACCGTGTAGTGGGGTTTCCTTGTCCTTTCTACGGACATGCTTTACTGTGCTGCTGTAATATGGGGTTTAAAGGATGTTATCTCTGAGTGGCTGAGCTCTTTTTATGTTGAGGTGTTTATTTATTTATTTTTTTATTAATTAATTAATTAATTTCATTTTATTCATTTGTTTATGTTTTGCTCTGAATAGTTTTTCACTTGTTTTTTTTTTTCCTATTACAGGTTTTGAAGAGATTCCCACAGTGGCAGCACAAGACCTGAGTAACATCCTGAAGCAAGGTTACCTTGAGAAGAAAAGACGTGGTAAGGGGCTTCATTAACTTGTCATACACGAAAAAGATCAGCAATGAAAGATGTAAAAAAGGGAAGATTCACTCTGTGAGATCAGTGCAACATGGATATGCTAATTAAAAGTTTTTAATGTAAAGAAAATGCTTGTTTTTCTCTTTTGTAATTTCGGTAAAAAATCTATATATTTTTATACAAAATAACAAAGAAAATTATACTCCCACCACACTAAACTTGTAAAAAGGAGGAATATTTCAGGCTAAACTGACTGCCTGCCATCAAGTGTAACCTTTCAAACTTTAGGTTTTCACCAGGTTAATTACATTACCTTTCCATCATTATTGCACAAAAACCATTAAAAACTGTTTTCTTTGTCTATATTGTGTGACAGGGCAGACAGGTTATGTTTGACAGACCCTGTCAAGGATGGAGGAAACAATAAATTGTCAGTGTTGAATAAGAGCAAAATTTAGCAGCTTTTGAAATTGGCTCCTCTACAGACTTAAATGATGTCACTTCCTCTTCATTAGGTCTCTTTAATATGATGGTGTATAACTTATATAGCTAAGTTGGCATTATGGGGTGGAAATGAAATATCAAAACACAGATAAATTATTAAATTTGACTTCAAATAAACCTTAAAATGTTGAATTTACCATGAAAACAGATACATTCCTGTACTGTTACTATGGAAACAGATACATTCCTGAGCATGGCAAAGGTTTGATGCTCATACAACTTTTATTCAGTAATATTAGAGGTGGAACTTCAATGACTGTCTATACTATACTATACTGTAGTACATATATATGACCCAAGGACTGTACTAAATCTGTCTAAATTTGTCTTACTTTTTCTTTTTCTTTTATAAGACCATACATTCTTCACCATGGAGTGGCAGAAAAGGTGGTGTGTGCTGAACAATACCATATTCTACTACTTTGGGAGTGAAAAAGGTTTGAGAAACATAAGCCGACATAAATCAACATAAGATATCGGTTCCATTGTTTCAGTCAAAAGCTGTATACAATTCACCAACATGGACACTTTGAGCTTCATCACTGTAACTTTTGTCATTGTAATTCTAGACAAGCAGCAGAAAGGCTCCTTTTACATCAATGACTACAAAGCAGCGCTTGTAGTCAACGTGCGCAAAGACTCCAAGAAGAACTGTTGCTTTGAGATTAAGGCCGATGGAAGACGTTCCTACCAGGTTCAGTGAACACGCACACACACACATGCATGCAGGCACACACCCTTTTGCTCTTTGACTCATTGCTGTGGTTGCTCAGAGTCACGTTTGTATCGTTCCAATGAAGAATGCTTGTTTTCACTGAGCATAGCGCCCAACTCACAGATGATGGCTTTTCCCTGCAGTTCACTGCCAGCAGCCCTCGTGAGGCCAAGGAATGGGTGGACCAGATCAATTTCGTCTTAAAGGGTAAGTTACATGGGGTGCTTAAAAGATGTGGATGAGCCTTTATTTAGCATGTAAACTATACATGTCGATACAACTTGTTTTAGTAACCTGAATAATTTCTCTTATGATCACAAGGCCTGCTTTCCATCTTCAATCTAATCTGAGCATCTCTTTAAAGTCAGTGTGTCAAAACAGCAGAAGAGACTATGCTTTTGATTTTCTACTAGTTCTTATAAGTACCTTTTTTTGGGCTCAGCCAATCAGACACACTGCAGACCTCCTCATGCAGCACGTCACGGAGCTGCTGAGCCCCACGCGTATCGCTCTGCCTCCTCTTCCGCGTAGCACAGTGCTCTTTACGGGAAATTGATTGGGATGCACTCTGGTCATTCTTCAGGGGCATTGATCTGGCCCTGCTTGGCATCCAGGCAGTGAGAATGCGATAGCCTGTGTTACTGAGCTCAGTCACCTGCAATCAGGCCCGAGCTCCATCTGAGACAGATCTGGAGCGCGCCCGCTGCTCTAAAATGGGCTCACTGCGAGCCTCCGATTTGCGGGAAGTAATGAACACTCCTGGGATTGTTTACACTCTTCCCAGCCCCCCCTTTTACCATGATCATGTAAAACCATAATTCATAAAATGAAAAAAAAAAAATCATTGTCATTCATGCACTTTATTTTCCAAACTGCAGAACAGGTACAAAATAATTGCATAACGAGACGCAAGTTTGTACCAATCATGACAAAAGCATTTTTATTAATTTAATCCGAAAATGTGCAGAATTGTTAATGTTTTTAAAAGGGCACTTCACTGAGTTTTGCAAAATCCTACATCAATAAATGGTTCAGATGTAAACAAAGTAATTCAGACTGGTTTGGTGTGAAATGCTCTGTTCTAAAGAAACTTACAGAGTCAGAACTGCTCACAGTGGTGGTGGTAGGAACCAGACATCCACCTTTAAAAGCTCCCTCAAAGAAAGTTACTTCATGAAATGATTTTGAATACACTGCCTGATGTCTGACATTGTTTTATGGTAGTTCTGAAATACAGTTTTGGCTTAAAATGTATTTTAACTCATTTGTTTTAATCCATTCATGGCAGAGGGGGACATGCAGGGATTTGTGAGGCAAAAAACCCCCCAAAGAATTTTTTTTTTTTCAGATTTATGTCTATTTTACCATCATAGACATTACATTTAAAAAACTCAGAAAGGATGTGTAGGTTCACTGGTGGTTTTAGATATTAAATACAACCCTGTTTCCCAAAAAGTTGGGATGCTGTGCAAAATGTAAATTAAAACAAAATGCAATGATGTGCAAATCATTTAAACACTATATTTAACTGAAAACAGTACAAAGACAAGAAATCAAATGTTGAAACTGAGAAATTTTATTGTTTTTTGAAAAATATATGCCCATTTTGAATGTATTGCCAGGAACATGTTCCAAAAAGTTGGGACAGAGGCATGTTTACCACTGTGTTGAATCACCTCTTCTTTTAACAACACTCTGTAAGTGTTTGGGAACTAAGAAGACCAACTGCTCTAGTTTTGAAAGTGAAATGTTTTCCCATTCTTGCTTGATATAGGATTTCAGCTGCTCAACAGTCCAACAGTTATCAGTTTAATTATCTATCATTTCAATGCCATACTATTGTCTTGGTATATCACTATGAATGGTGCATGATTTGCATTTGCATCCTCTTCTCAAATGTAGATATGAACTCCAGCTTCATCCCCTTTGATGATGATGAGGAAGAGGAGGAGGAGGAGGAGAAAGAGGAAGAGGGTGAGGAAGAGGAGACATATGATGACATTGAGGGAGCAACCACTCCACCGTTGCTCCCCGGCCCTGCCTCTGCAGCTCCAGTTCCATCACCAGCACCCAGTGCACGTGAGGCGAGGAGGGAAAGAACAGTCGCAGCTGTAGAGGAAGACTTAGAAGATGAAGAGGATATATATGAAGTGCTGCCAGGTACAGAAAAAAACACGTACTGTGTCTAGACGTTAATGCCCAATTCTCCAAATTAGCTCAATTACTCAGTCAATAGCAAATTAGCCACGGTAATGCTAATGTTATATGCTTCAATGGATTTTAATGGATTAATTTTAATGCCCTGGAAAGTGCTAGAATATGCATGTTAGACTCATGTCTCAGAGGGTCTCTGAGATATAAGGTCACTTCCAACAAAGGTGTAACTGTAATTTATAATTGTAAAAATCTTAATTAATTTTGCAGGATTTTCCAACATCTCTTCATCCCTTATCACTAAGGCTGCTTTTGATCGGGCCTTGTTCAAAAAGCAATCTGGGCTAAATTGCCTACCAAACTGTTAAGTTCAGACTAAAATACATCAGAAAAAATAAATTTCAGCCACTCCTTACAGATATATGGATCCTTTGGAAGGCTGCAGTAATCCATTTACTTCCTGACAGCCATGTACAGCACAACGTTTAATGGTTTGCCCATATATTCCACTCTAATAACGCTGCTACAGACTGTTGGCAGTAACAACACTCCTTATACCTTTAACATGAATGGGTAACCACATGTAAATGTTTTCATGGTTGTGACATCACAGCTGTGATGAAGTTAAAAAGGGTTTTTGCAGCTTATGTGGACTTCATGGACTGGTCAGTGAACAGTACACTTTGAAAATTGAATAGTGTTTATATTGATTATTCTACTGAATTGGTACAAAGTAAGATCAAAATGCATTTTGATTTTTAGACTAAAATCCTTTAGCTTTAAGTGACCATGTACCTTGATTATGTTCATTTTATTAAACAAATGATTGAACATTCCACTTTGTCACTACCAAAACAATGAAAATACACCCAAAACTTTACCTAGTGACCGTTTTAGCTAATTTTGAGCATAACTCAAAAATGCTAGCCAGTACATGTTTAGCAAACACAGCTTTAAACAGTTGCACACACTACTGTAAAATTTTCATTGTATTTTTCATTGAAACACAAAAAAGTTTACTTAATTAACAAAAATAAGTGTTCCATTGGTGATCATTCTTCATGTTACACACTGATTTTCAGACTTTGTGATACATTTATTCAAAACAATGTGATCTAACTGCTTACCATGTGGCCATGAGGAACAGGGATACAGTCTCGCTTCCTGCTCTAAAATGCAGGCTAAAATAACGCTCTGCCTATGGACTAAAACTCTTTGTGTTTGAAAGTGACTTGAAATAACAGGACAGCATTTTTTAACTAAAGTCTTTTATATAAAAATGAATAATAATTAAAAAATATATATATAAAAAAATAATAATTTAAATCTTTCAACTTCACATAAATTAAAAAGATCTTGAAAGAAAATTGAAAAATAATAAAAAATAATGTCACAAGTTGAAGTTTTTTTTTTTTTAGGGGAGTTTTGGGACAGCCACCTCCCAGTTATTATTTTTATTATCTATTATCTTCTCAAATAATGCTTTGAGTTTGGTAACAATTTATTTGGATTGTCCACTTTAGATGCTTTGTAACTACTTAATTTACTTCTAAGCTACATTTAACTAAATATCTACTACGTTCGCTATAATTTTCTTTGAACCTGGCTCTAATCCTAACCCTAACCTTAATCTCAACTCAAAACCTAAACCAAACCCTCACCCTGCTCCTAGCCCTATTCTTGGTCCAAATCCTAACCTGACCACTGTTTAGAATCAACTGAATTTTAACAGAGAGTTTTTTAACAATTTGAACATCTGTAGATAATCTATGGGGGACTATAGTGAACTATCCAAATAAAAAGATACCTTTTTATTGTGAGACTACAGGTTGTACTAACTGGTCCATGTAGTACATCAAACTCTTTTATTTCAAAAGTAAGGAAAATTCATTTTTCCCCAATAAACTCCCTTTAACTCCCAGTGTCACGCAATCAAGCGGAGCAGATACATCAAGATCTGGTGCCTCAAAAATGACTGGGAGCGGCCTGAGAGCACTTAACGAGAGCAGAAACACATCAGTCCTGAGCGCTGTCATTTTCACCTTTCTCCGCCATGTGTGTGAGGCAGCTGAGCCGGCCACAGATGGTGGATCGGATGACCATCACTCCCCTCAATCCGTCTCTCTTTCTTTCTCCTCCTGCTCCTCTCTGACTGTTGGAGTTGAAAAGTGCTGAGTATGGCTTGCTGCAGTAACTTATACTTAGAAAGGATGAAAGTGTTACTGAGGTATTAATTAATCCAAAATAGATGATTTTTTACTTCTTTATAGACAGTTATTGTTTCATCACACCTTTTTTTTACAACAGGAAATGTCCCATTTGGCATATTTCCTTGCTGTGATTAAGTACTGAAAAGCATGAAAAGTGATAAAGTGAAGCTTAGTTTAGTTGCTTGAATGGGCAACCAAATGTAAATGTTTTAATGGTTGTGACATCACAACTGTGATGAAGTCAAAAGGGTTTTTGCAGCTTATGTGGACTTTATGGACTGGCCAGTGAACAGCACACTTTGAAAATTTAACAGTGTTTATATGGATCATTCTGCTGAATTGGTACAAAGTGAGAGATCAAAACACATTTTGAAATTTAGACTAAAATCCTTTAGCTTTGATTGACTCTGTGCCTTAATGATGTTTATTAAACAAATGATTGAACATTCTTCTTTGTCACTACCAAAACAATCATATACAAATGCCATATTTGCCATATAAATGTGTTGATTTTGCCTTACAGTGAATGTAATGTATAATAGATAGACATGTTGTTGTAAGGAAAAGTTCATTTGGCGTTACAATCGGCAAACCTTTTCATGAGTGGGCAGGAACTTCAAAGCATAAGTACATTTTTTTATTTTGCTTTTTCCACGGTTCCTGGAAGCAGAGGGCCGGCCCGTGTCGTGGGAAGTATAAGGTTGCCATGTGGTGGTTTTATCGGCAGGCTGACAGGGTGAGGATGGATGTGGGAGACAGAGAGCAAGGCTATCACTGTCACTTCACAGACCCTGAGGTGCCACACCCCGAATCAATGGCCCGTCTGCCCTGACACACTAACGACAAAATCCAGAATGGCACCTCTCCTGTACATCTCCTATACGTCAAATACATAAGCTTTTCTGCTAATGCCACTTCTGTTATATAATACTCTTATTACAGGCTGCCTAGTGGCCTCTGGCAGTTGGTGCAAGTGCACTGTGCCTTTTATTAGAAATTTAACATTAATTGGCTTAGTAGATTTAAAAAAGGAAAGAAGTTGCTACGTCTAAAGTGTTACGTTTAAGGAGTGCCAGGAGGTCATTTACTCTTTAAGTGTAGTAATAGTTGTTTTCTGCTCTGTGCTCTTTCAGAGGATGATTTCTTGGACAATTCAGAGGAGATCAGTGAGAGGAGCCAAAAAACAGGTGAGGAAAATTTTCTCTCATCTGACTGCTTGTGTTTTGATGTGTAAAGACCTAATCGAGCTAGATCAAACTAGCTTTATAGGAGGAGGCATTGCAATTTTATGTAATCCTACATTTGTCTTCCATTTCACATATTTTCCCTGATATCATAACTGTTTTGTGGTCCTGTGAACTGAACCACAAAATAAAACAAACAGAAAGAAATCAGTCATAATTACTTTAGAATTAAACTGGCTGTTTTGTGTCTTTAGTACTGATTTATGTAAATGACGTCTGTTCTGATTGGTTGCCCTGTATTCAGCCATCTGGTGATGTCACTGTATAACTGCGCTGCCATTTTGAATTAAACTATATTTCATGTGCTTTGCAAGTTAATGTAATGACAGTGTTTAATTACTTCAGTGTTTGAGTACGAATATCACAAATTATTAACGTTTACTGTGCAAAACTACCTACACTGGCCGACAGCACCCGACATACCGTGAAAAAAAAAAAAAAAAGATTTGCCAAATGCAGAAAACACTTTCCTCAAAATGTGCAGCATTTTACAAAAGCTCTGCAAAATAATAAATTTGTTGCAAATTCATAGAATTTAGAAAACATTTTCATCAAAGTGATGATACCTGTGCTGCATTTACATACCCTGCAAATACAGAAAACACAGGTATTTTCAGAAACTCTGCAAAGCCAGTCACAACACAGTGGAAATGTTTCCGGATGACACTCAAAGAGGATGGAAGTGAACTTTTATTTGAGCAGATAACTAATATTATTGTGTCATAATGGGAATTAGCTGTAGAGTCTAGCTGCACAATTTCATGTAGCAATACTATAGTTATTACTGATAACTACACTACTACAGCTATGACATGTCAGATGTCCAAGTCTGGAAACTTTTCCTTTGTGTTGTGCCCAAGGTGTGAAATACAGGGGGTCCTGGGGGTGGGTCACGGACATCCTAATTGAACTCTTGGACCCCCCAGAAAATAAACTCCTTTTGACACTATGCTGTCTATTAAGGTAAAATAGACACTAAATCACAAATTCATGGAAAGGTCATTGTTTAGTTGCTTCGCCCACAAAATAGCAAGTTGCTGTCTTCAATGTTCTTAACTAAGTAGGTCTTCAGCACTGGTGTGCCTCAGGGTGCTGCTGTAGTAAATTGGTTCACCTGGTCTTTCGTAGCCTAGTTACTGTAACTATGGTTGGGCCACGTCTGAAAACTTTACAATATACTGCAGCATATTTTTAAGTCTGAAAACATGCCCAAGAGTTTGGTGGAAAGAGTGAGTTTCCCAAATCCAAGACAAAAAAGGAGATCTCAATGTGTGGAAGACCATGTTACCAAAATAGAAAAGCACATTTCCAAAAGAAGAAGTGTCAAACCAAACATTTGCATCATTCCATTGATTGTAGAATCAGCGCTGCTATGGCGAGTGAGTTTGCAGCCAGCATGTGATCCTCCAACTGCTATTTTGCACACTGGTTGTGTCTCACTTCCATTGTGTTGTGCCTGGCCTCACGATGTTTTTGAAGCTGCATGTATTTTCTGAGTTTGCTGTGCATTTGTGAAATGTAGTTTTTCCAGTTGAGACAAAACATTGGTAAGATTAGTTACACATTACCGAAAGCACAATCAGCATAACATTTTACTATAAAGCATGTGTTGACAAGCACATTACTCCAATGATGATAAAACCAATAAAAATCGGACAGCTGAAATGTACAGAACGACGGGAAAAAGCAGCAAGCTTGAAAATTCAACCCACCAAGAATCCTGGCTAAAGAGTACTGCCTTGCGGGGTGGGGAAATGTCTATTTTTCATTAATCTTACCTCTGATGACGCAGATTACTGCCAATGATGACAGTTTTTTTCTTTAACTTGGTTTGTAAATGGGCATCTGCTACTCTGTCAAAGTATCAGTTCTCGCTTTTATAGATTCCCCAGACACATCTTTTAAATATCTGGAGCTTCAAATTTAAAGTACATTTAAAGGAATAAGCTCACTGCTAAAAAACCTGAAAGCTTGATCGAGGTAATGGCGATAGTGGAACAGTTACCAAGCAGTGACTGGAGGAAAAAATGAAGCAGACATTCAGGAAAGACATGGACAGCATCAGGATTATGATTGGCTGTAACACAATGACAAATTAGTTCATTTTAGTAAATAAACTAGTGCCCTAGTGGCTCATTGAATGATCTGGGTCTGCACAGGAGGGATGTAAAATACCAAGGTCAGTGATACTGAAAGGCTACATAAACTTGACTGAGGACTACATTATTTAGTACAGGCAGATTTTAGATTGAGGAGTAGACAGGGAAACAATTTGTAATAATAATTGCTGAGGTTTTTTGCAATAGATACTTATTAGAGATGTACATTCTGACTAACTGTGATAATCAAGTATCTGTAACAGCTGATGAACAGGCTTACCTTTTAGGTCATATCACTGGAGGAATACATTTGAAAACACATTTTATTAATCATAAATAGCTGAGAGAAATCGATTTTGCCTCAGATGAGATAATCAGTTAAACTAGAGTTAACGTCATATGCACTGTTTGTACAGTCTGATTGCGGAACCTCAGCCTCACTGAATTTGAAGATGGTGGGCACGTGAAATGGGTGTATTGTACTTAATTCAAAAAGCTGTCTGGCCTGAAACACTCCAAATTCAGTGTGAATGGGTGGGGCTGAACTGTGGGTAGGCAGAATGGTTGGATAGATAAGTATGTGCTTTGGTTTTGTAACATCACAAAAACAATGCAAAACAGGTCTTTTTTAACAGCAATGTTTTCTTATATGGACTCCAGAGCTCTGAATCTGCAATTTGTATCACATACAAGTGCAACACATGATGATTACAGAGTGAATTGTGAACCTGGAACTCCCTTAGTAACAATCCTGTTTGAATTGACTTCACAGTAATATAATCACAAAACCTGCTAACAGACATGTGTCGTTACTGAGTGGTGCATTCATTGCATAGTGCTGATACATCTGTACATCTATGACATTGTACATTTCTGTCATTTAGCAGACATGCATCTAGAGCAACTTTCAGTTTGATCATTTCACAGAGCTAAATGAAGGTAGTGTTAGGAGTCTTGCCCAAGGACTCTTATTTTTACATCATAGGGTGCTTGACCAGATGGGGAATCCAACTCAATATACCATACCGCTAGTACGCATGGTGTCTGTATGATGACTATGATATTTCAGTCCAGGATATCTGGGCGACAATTTGGGGAAATTACACAGATACTTTATCCCTTACAAAATGGCCATGTAGGTCTTTTACCAATTCATTACTGGACCTCCCCTGGTAAAACTAATCCTGTTCAAATAGCACTTAAGTCTTTTTAGTCCTTGTATGCCATTTTTCCACATCTGTATATTAAAAGGGGAGAGTGTGCATGTGTTTCTTTATTAGACCCATCATCAGATTATGCCAATTACTATCAAGGCCTGTGGGACTGTGAAGCCGATGGTCCTGATGAGCTGGCGTTTCGTAGAGGAGACATCATCTACATCCTAAGCAAGGTCAGTGGACGCCTGCATACAAACATGCACGCCTCTCTCTCTCTCTCTCTCTTTTTCTCTCTCTATCGTTTGCTTTCTGTTTCTTCTCTTCTAAACTCAGCTTAGATAGTAATTACTTTTCAGGCATAAACTCATCTGATTTATCCTTGAGTGCTTTGTTAAACAAGGAGATCTGCATGCCTTTGATATTTGTTTTCTTTATCTCTCTGTCTTCATAAATAATGAACAATGTCCGTCATCTACACTCACTCACAGATGTCCGCTACCTTACCTTTTACACTAACAGTATGTTTGTATCATAACATTTTTTATTGTCTCATTCAAAAAAGGATCATAATAGAAATAAGATTAAGTATGTTTTTATATTAATTCACTGAATAGAGTTAAAGGGAGGATTTGTCTCTCAGTGTATAACAGCTTTCAAATAAAACATATATTAGAAAACATGGAAAAATGAAAAAAATTATGACTGTCATTCTCAATAGAAGCTAGCAATGAAATGTTTAATTCAAAGGTGCATTAAAGTATGTGGAATCATTCTTCTCAGAAGCAGACACTTGGACTTGCTGCTGGCTGCACATTCAGCCTGTTTTACCTCCTGTCTATTGACATAATGTTCAGATAACATTTTTTGTGTGTGTTTTTGTAGTCACTGGAGAACACTGCTCAGTGGCCAGATTCTCAGTAATGGGCTGTTAATTCATTACTGGGGTTGTATCACGGAGAATCGAGTGTTCAGCCATGCACAACTGCTTATTTAGGGCCTCCTGCAGCTAGTGCATTCACCAGCTCGTCCTTCTCTTTAAATCTATACCTCAGATGTCTTACAAGCAGAAAGCCTCAAACAGCATATACACATGCTGACTGTCTCTTAAAGATGCACAACCGGAAATCAATGTACTTTAATTTTGCGTTTCACTTCCAACTAAGTCAGGGTAATCTGTAAATGTCCAATACAGAACATCCATGTCGACCATGTGAATGCACAGAACAGAAAAAACATGTGTATTATGTCAGAGGTAGAATACATTTAGTGATTAATAAAATGCTTACAGAGTTGGCAAAAACAATGATGCATTATGATATCTACATAACTTTAAACACACTTAAAAAATTGGCACTTTGAATTTACATCATTCAAATGTGATGAAGTTTCATTCAGTTGCACATGAATTCTTTGTCAAAAAAGTAAAGTAAGTTCTTACTAAATGAAGTAACTGAAAGACGACCATTGTACTAATCATGCAATTTAAAATGAGCAATAAGCCACTATAAGTTGTGCATTACAATGATTTTGCCAAGGGTTTTAGGCAAAGTGAAACAATCACTGTAATGCACAGCCTTGAGTGGCTCACTGTTTTCAATGGAGTTGAGGTCAGGGCTTTGTGCTCATCAAACCATGTCTTTATGGACCTCATTTTGTGCACAGGGGCGCAGTCATGCTGGAACAGGAAAGGGTCTTCCCCAAACTGTTGCCAACAAGTTGTAAGCATATAATTCTCTAAAATGTCTTTGTATGCTGTAACATTAACATTACCCTTCACTGGAACTTAGAGGCCTAGCCCAAAACCTGAAAAACAGCCCCACACCATTATACCTCCTCCACCAAACTTTCCTGTAGCTACTATGCATTCCGATAGGTAGCATTCTTCTTGCACATGTCAAACCCTGATTCATCCATCAGACTGTTAAATAGTGAAGTGTGATTCATCACTCCAGAAAACAGTTTTTACTGCTCCAGTGTCCAGTGGTGGTGTGCTTTATGCCACTCTATCCAACTCTTGGCATTGCACAAAGTGATCTTAGGCTTATGTGCAGCTGCTCGGCCATAAAAACCCATTTCATGAAGCTCCCATCACACGAATGTTGTGATGATGTTGCTTCCAGAGGCAGTTTGGAACTCAGTAGTGAGTGATACAACAGAGCATAGGCGATTTGTACACCCTATCCACTTCAGCACTCAACAGCCCCACTCTGTGAGTTTGTGTAGTCTACCACTTTGTGGCTGAGCTGTTGTTGCTAATAGATGCTTCAGTTTCACAATAACAGCAATTGTTTTACAATAAATTCTTCAGTAAACTTAAATTCTGATCCTTTAACACTTTAAAATCTTTAAATCTTAATAGAGGAGCCTGCTAGCTTGTTAGCTATCTGATGAATTCATCCATGTAGTTCTAGTTGTTAACACTTTAAGTCCCAGGCTTATTACATACCAAGGCTGATTATTCAGTCACTACAGGGACTTCAATGCAAACTGGTTGGGCTATTCTTAGGTTATAGAAGTGTGTAATAAACTTTGGACCCGCCAGTGGGCTGAGTGTAACATATTGGGAAAAATTTTAAATAAAAAATAAAATTTGCTATAACTTATAGCATTTGTAGCATTTAAACATTTTGTGTTTAAAAATCAACAAAACATTATTTATCCAGGGGTGCCCAAACTTTTGCAGCCAACTGTAATGTTCCATTTAGATGCTGTCTTAATATTGCCCTGATATTCTCAATATTATGAAATATTGTAAGTAATAGCCCACTCTCCTATTGACCTTTTTAATTAATGGTGAGGGCTTCTGCAGATCATTTATTTTATTTCTGTTTAGCTTAAGCTGTCATTATAACTGCTGTAGTCCATTCAGGGTAAGCCTGTATGCCTGCAGTACTTATGATTCTGTAGAAGGTTTTATTTATGTAGATTTATTGCATATTATCTCTAATTCCATTCCCTCATCCATAATTGAAAGAGTTATTTATTGAAGATCTAAATGACTGGAATATTATTATGAGTACTGAGCCATTCCTCCACCACATGAATGTTTGCTCCTCTGGATCATTTAAGACAATGTAGGGCTGGTACCTTTGTTTTACGGGTGCTTCCCTGGACCATTGACCCCGCCGAATGAAATATGAGCCACTGGCTAGAACTCAAGCCTACCTCTAACAGTCTTGCTCATAAAGCAGTGGTCATAAAATAAGAGTGCATAAATTTTGCTAGCCAGAGGCGTGGAGGGGAGGCCAGGTGTATTTGTGTCAACACTGAGCATAATTACAAGGTGATAAAGATGTGTAAAGTGCTAAATCAATGGTGTTAACCAACAGGTTTTTAAAGCAGCACGATGATTGAATGCTGAAAAGTAGCAAATCAAAGGGACAGACAGGACTGTCACAGCAATGGAGTCTGCCGGCTTGCAGCTGAGCAGACCATGCAGATTATAAAAAGGTTTCTCAGCAGCTATTATTGATCAGTCACTTACAGTAGCCTACATAAATGCAGCCAGCATAGCTTCTCTACTGCATACATACCTACATGTAGAGAGAGCGTGTATGTATTTTCATACATTTTCAAGACAAATTTAGATAAAAACATGGCCAATCTGCACTCTTAAAAAAGATGGTTCTTCAAGGCTTCTTTAGTGAAAATAGTGGTTCTATTTACAATCATGAACACTCATGCTTAAGTGGTTCGTTGCATGGTGGAATGGTTCTTCAGATTGATGGAGAATCTTGTTCTTCAGATTGATGGAGAATCTTGTTCTTCAGATTAATGGAGATTCTCCATCAATTTAATTGGTTTTTCTATATAGAAGCTTGTTGAAAATGGTAAAAAGGGATCTGCTACTGTGATGTCAAACTTGTAAAAATAGCAGAACTCTTCTTGGTGCTATATAAAACCATTTTCAAATGTTTATGGTTCTGTACCAAACCACTGTCTTTACTTCAGGACCCTTGAAGAAGCATCTTCATGTACAGTGTTAGGACCAATACAATGCTCCGATAAACAGCTTTTTTATATGTGTGTGTACTTGTTCAGTAGTGGGTCCATTGGTACCATACACAACAGTACTGTGCAAAAGTCAAAGACCACCCTTCAGTACCCTTCAGACCACCCAGCAACTTACTTAGTTTTTGGTGTCAGCAAAAGAGCAGAAAACACATATTTAAACAAATATAGAATTAGAAAAGCCTTTCTGTCTTTCGGTATTTACAGTATTTACCTTTATTAAAGCTTCCGTTGTTTTTGGCACTTTTTGCACCTCTCACAATCCAATAATTACAAACACTTTCAATGATGTTGAGGTCTGGACTCTGGGTGGTCAGTCCATTGTTCTGAGAACAACATCATCTTCTTTGTTTGATTTGCAAATGTTCCTCTTTTTTTGTCTGTTTCCCTCTCTCAACAATGGCTTCTTCACAGCTACACATCTTTTCAGACTCATAGTGTTGAATTGTCTTCTCACAGTGGAAGGATGAACAGAAACACCTGTGAATTTTTTTCAGATCTGAAGTAAGAGTGGAGCTTGATTTTCTCCCCTCTCTCAAAGATGAAAGCTTTAAGTGCTGTTTATCTGATGGTGTCAGTTTTGGTCGTCTATCAGATCTTGCATGGTTGTTTCAAGTCCCATTTTCTCTGTATCTTACTCCAGTTTTGAAAACTCCTTTTTCACTGGTTTTTCTTTGGCTTCCTTATGCAGATGGACATTGAATTACCTCAGAAATAGCTCCTGAAAAATGAACTTTTACTTAATATCCAGTTTGACCTAAAAGTGAGAAATGAAGTCTCTGACCTTTGCACAGTACTGTATGGACCTACATATTGTGAGCATGTGTGTTAGAAGTGGCACACTCAGTGATATCCGGACTTTGCTTAAGCACAGGTTTCTGTCTCAGCACTCTGGTGTTGTAAAGAATATGAGCGGTGCGAGGCAGCGGGGGGTAAAATAAATAAACCCAGCGAGCCTGCTCACTCATCTGCAGCCCAGCTTCATTTTCAATCTTGCCCTGATTAATTCAGCAGAGTTAATTTTGCGCAGCCTCTGTGCTCCGCTCTGCAGTGAGAGCCCCTGAGCTCCCTGCTCTGCGGCGCTGCCTCGCTGCTTCTACACTCCAACATGAAATAGTGGCTAATACCAACATCCATCTGGCAGTGTTACGCAGCCTCCTCAATCCACAATGCAGGGGAGCCGCTGATGGCAGCAGAGCAGGATGTTTGGGGCTGTTTTTCT